GAGTTGGCGGGCTTTTGCGTGGACGCAGCCGATGGTGTGGGGCTTGGCGAGGATGCTGTCTCTTGCGAGTTGTTCGAGTTGGGAGCGCGTGGAAAGACGGCTTTGCTCCCCGTCGGGGCCGGTGTCGGTGAGCTGGATTCCATTGTAGGAAGGGGGGGCGAGGAGAACCTGCGATGTTCCTGCGAGCGCAAAAAGACTCGTGCAAAGCGCGGCTGACTTCATGATGTGCAGTCTTGGATCAACTTGATGACAGTTTGCCGAATTCGATAGTCTGAAGGGATGGATTGAGGAGAAAGCCGCGTCACAAAAATATGGCTGGTGGGGGAAAAATATACGCAGATCTTGGAGCGTTTTGAGTTTTACCTCGGTTTTCTTCCAAACTCAAACCTGTTCCCGCCGGTGTCGTGACTTCGCTCTGGCGAATCTAAACGCCATTCCCGCGCCTCAACCAAATGTTAAGCGGTAAGTTATCTAGATAAGATAATCGACATGCTCGGGGCGTGGATAAGGCTGGCTCGCCTCGCTGAAGACTCCTACTAGCGGGCAAATGTGACAGTTTCCGACCCGCAGCTGCCAACGTTCCCTAAGGAATGCGCGGGCACTTTTCACTAAAGTCCCATGAATTGTCGTCCGCTCAAAGTTTTGCCTTCCAGTTTGTCTTTGCAAGCAGTAATTCCCAAAAGCCATCTGCCAGTCCATTGGCAGTCACACAGATGAAGGGCGACAGGGTTCTCCCCTTTGCGGGTCTCCGGGAACCCCACTTCGGGCCGGCCTATCACCGTGTAGACACGGCACCGGACCGGTCAAACCGCCATCCCCTTTTGATCCAAGACCCTCTGTAAAGGTGACAAACCCCTCAGCTTTCGATGCAACTAGCTGGAAGCGTTGCTTCGGGATTGGCTGATCGAGCAACATCAGTGATCAGCGTGCGTCGCCCAGTGGCCCCAAACTATTGCAGTCTAACTTGGCGGCTACACACCTACTAGCTCGCCAGGTGATGGATGCAACTCAAGATTGCAAGAGGGGTAGCTCCCAGTTTTTGGTAGCTCCCCTTCGTAGAGGGAGGGGACTTTTGTGGCCTCATGGGGAGATAAGAGTGATCCGATCTCCCCGAGCCCTCCTCTCTTTCCTTCCATCTCTGTCCACATCCATCCTCACTTCCAGATTGCAGAACAAGCCCAACACCTTCTTCAGTTCCAAGCTCCTTTTTTACCATGGCATCGCCGGACACATCACGGAAGCAATACGACAATGTCGCCACCGCCTACACATCGGTTGAAGACCTCCCCTGTTCCAAAATTGAGGCCGAACTCATTCGCACCGCCCTTGGCGATTGTACCGGTCTATCCGTCCTTGACCTTGGGGGAGGAAGCGGTTTGCACGCCCGTCGCGCCGTCGATGCTGGTGCTGCCTCGGTCGATGTTCTTGACATTTCGGTCGAGATGATGAAGGTCGGACAGGACATTGAGGTTTCGCTTGGGCGCGGCGACAAAATCAAGTGGGTTGCTGCAGACCTGGGTCGCCCGTTGGGGGAGCAAGATGCCGCGAAGGAACTCAAGTCGGAGGGATACGACATTGTCATGGCAAATTGGCTCTTCGACCACGCAACATCGGTTGAAGACTTGAAGGCCATGTGGGGCAACGTGGTTGCGAATCTGAAGCCAGGGGGCAGGTTTTTGGGTGTGAGGGTGAAGAATGTTCACACAGAGTTCATGACGTATGGCAAGTACGGGGCGTCTTTCAGCGAGATTGTGGAGATCCCCGGCGGCTATGGGTACAATTGCAACTGCTTGACGCAGCCGCCTTTTTCTTTTGGATGCACGTCGATGGCGGATTCGTATACATTGGCGAATGAAATCCCAAAGGGGCTAGGCTTGGTGGACTTTGAGGTCTTGAAGCCCGAGGATACGGATGTTGCGAAGGGGGACCCGGAGTTCTGGAAGGATTTTGTAGCAGATCCAAACCTTGCTGTCGTCACGGCGAGGAAGCCTTCTTCTTGAGTAGAGTGCCTTAAAGGTCGCGTTCACACAACATCAGCAGGATTTCAACGATACACGTCGGCGGTGAGGGAGATACCAGGTTAGAAAACATGACAAGACGAAAGCCCGTTTGGGTCGGGAGAAGGGTCTTTGGCAGATCCTGCAAAAGCCTAAGATGGATCTTTTCAATATCATATTCAACAATGTAGCTTGAGGCATCTATCACAGTCATATTCAAGTATCCCCTATATGAAGAGCCCCCGAAGGAGCCCAGTCAGGCAAATCAGGCACGCTATTACCATTCCTCCACTCAGATGTGTTCCAGGGCGGCCGGACGCGGCGCTTGTTGGGGTCACAGTGATTCTCTGGGTAACCGTACTGGCCCGCTGAGTAGTTGTCCGCGTTCTAGTCGTCGAACTTGAAGTTGTCACTGGAACCACGTCAAAAAGTCATCTTCAAACTCTGTAAGTGGTCCGGAGTATAAGGGATACAACTCACATGCGAATTGCTGCCGATACCACGTCCTGGGCGAATCATAAAAGTCAGACGAGCTGAAGCACTGAATGACACTCCTGATTCCGGTGTTGGCAACACCTCTAGAGTTGAGCAGGGTGATTGTGTCGCAGATGTGTGATGGACCACTGTAACAAGTTGTCAGCTCACATGCACCATCGGGTGGATGGACAACCAACCAGTTTGCTCTGCCCCCCTGAATATAGAGTATCTCGTTGCCCACACAGCCAGTTGCATACGTGCACGGAATGCCACTGGTGCAACAAGCACCCCAAACTGGGTCCGCGGCGAAGATTTGTCCCGCCGGACATGTCATGGTAACCCCTGAGTCCTGTCAGCTTTTGCCCACTCCGGCTTAAGACTGCAGTGCCTTACACGACCCTGACCATAAAAAGAATCCCATGAAATCAGCACCGAGTTGCCTCTTTTCTGCGATATGCGCGCCATTGAAGTCCGGAGCCGGCGTCACGATGCCGGGATGTGGGTCCCGCCGAACCGGGTCGGGTTTCTGCGGGAATCGGCTGCTGTCGGCCCACGCCACCCTGGACACGCCCAGTGGGGCTAGAAGGGCGGTGACTCGCATGTTGGATAGGAAAGCAACGGCGATGCAACAAAGGGAACGACGCGATCGACATTGTTTTTGTCATTGTTTTGCACGTGCATCAAGGTGAGATTGAAGGCTTGCCAAGATACAGGGGCGGCGTAATCCCTCCAATTATTCCCCCGGCTCCCCTTTGCGGGTGAGAAGCCGCGACTGGGATCCTTGATGACGCTGTTATGCTCATTTCGAGGACAATGGACTCAAGACCTCTAGACCTATCAGCAATCTCAAAAAGCTCATGTTCATTTCACGAAGTCTGGAATCGCAAGTGGTCCGCTGCGGGTAAGTTCAACGGTCTCCGAGGACAGGCAGGTACAAAAACCAGTCGTACCCATACGGGCATCAAGGAGGACTGGAACAATCATGGAGAGACGTTTAACTCTTATTTATGACGGCTGCGCTTCATGACCTACCTATACCTAGTTATCGTACAAGCCTAGGTGGAATTTACACTGGAATCTATCCGTTAACACAAGACTTTTAACGCCCCAACTGCCTGGGTACTTCCCCGACGTCTTTCGGTGATGGAAACCTCGGAGTCCCGAGATTTTTACTGTGCATGCGATATGCGAGGCCAAGTGCGCCAAACGAGGCCGATTTCCGATTCCAGCCGCGGTCGCCTGTCGTTGCTCGCAAACGAATCGGGAATGCGGGGAACGAGAGGTGTCCGGCGCCCTTTGGGTGTCACTGCACAGCGGAAAATAACCCGACCTGACCTTTTTCATCCCAGAAAAAAAGCGTCGTGTGTAACGAAATAGAGTCATTCAAGCAAGGTAGATGCAGATGCAAGTCTTAGGACCGGTGACCGAGCTCTCCGAACCTGGAAGGGTGCACCGGCGGAGATAGATCGACCTTTGGAAACATTTTGAACAAGAAGGAGAGAGACTGTCCTCCAGAGCCATCAAGTATAAATCGATCGCCACCATTCAATCCCTCTGATCTCCTTTCTCCATATCATCTCAATTTTAATCCTCTACTTGCCAAACCTCGCACCGTATTCACTCCATTTCCCAAGTCCAAGTCTCTTCCCCTGAGCCAGACAACCAACATGGCACTCAACTTGAACGCTACCGCCCTGGCCTTCAAAGCCCTCCACAAGCCAGGCAACCCCCTTGTCCTCGCCAACGTCTACGACACCACCTCCGCACTCGCCCTCGCAGCTCACCCACATTGTCGCGCCCTCGCGACGGCTTCGTACGCCATCGCCGCCGCCAACGGCCTTCGGGACCAAGACCTCACACTCGACAACCACCTGCCCCTTCTGGCTCAAATCGCTGCTATCGCCAACAAAGCAGGAAAGCCATTCACCGTCGATCTCCAAGACGGCTATGACGAGCGCATTGAGGAGGCCGTCCGTGCCGTGATTGCGCTGGGAGCCGTGGGCATCAACCTGGAAGACTCGGATCATGTGACGGGGGAGATGATGGGCGTTGAAACCGCCGTTGAGAGGGTCAAGAGGGCCTTGCAAGCTGCCAGGGAGGAGGGAGTTCCGGACTTTGTGGTTAACGCGCGGTCTGACGCGTTCATGATGGGTGGAACGTTGGACGAGGCAGTAGAAAGGGGGAAGCAGTACTTGGAGGCGGGGGCGACGACGGCGTATGTGTTTCCCGGTCCGGCGAAAAACATCGATGAGAAGGGGGTCGAGATGGTGGTAAGGGAGCTGGGCGGCATGGTGAACCTTGCGGTAAGGGTTGTTGGGGTTGGGCCGGAGGACCTCACAAGCAAGGATCTGGCAAGGTTTGGAGTGGCGAGGATCAGTGTAGGTCCACAGCTGTATCTGGCGGCAGCGCATGCGTTGAAGACTGCGGCCGAGTTAACTTTTCAGGGCGTGGTGTGAAGCAAAAACAAGGGGACTCCACCATGAAGTGGGATCAAAAATATCGGCGCCACCTGTTGGTGGATGCAAATGATCGTGGCAGGGATCGAACCTGCGATCCTCTGCGATCAAGCTCATGTAAAGCAGATGTCGTAACCACTAGACCACACGACCTGGTATTTGTTAAACACATTCATCACAATTCCCGCTTTTAGATTGCTCCTACGCGCCTCCTGCATACACGTTTGACTGCAAAGCCTCCACATGTCGGGAGAAAACTAGATGTACCAAAACTGGCAAAAATACAAAAGCCAGAAACTAATGCCCACACTACTTGTAGATGCTCCTGTAAGCTAATCAGACAGTCTCGGTGTCTTTAGACAAAAATACGCATCTGACGCCACGAGTTGGATAAGGGGCAAGGCAAAAAGGGGCTCAGCCAGGGCTCGAACCTGGGACCACTTGCAGAATTTCAATACCCAAAGCAAGTATGCTACCACTACACCACAGAGCCGACGGTTGGAAATGTTGGCTCAGATTGATGCCTATGAGTCCTTGTCACGTGTGGGGTTCCAGGGGGTTACTCAGACGTGAGTCACACGGCCAGCCCGATCCTCAGAGTGCCCGGACAGGAACAAATCTGTCGACAAAATACCCCGTGGCAACGGCAAAGACAGTCTTACCCAAGATGTCGATGATCTGCTCTCCCACCGGCCAAGTCCAGGGCGGCACGCCCACGCCCGTCCAGTTCTCCAAGCTCTGGTCGATCAGCAAACGCACGCCGATGAACATGAAATCCGCAAACGGCCCTCGGATGCCCTTCCATGCCATGACAGCTCGGATGATGCCGGCTACCGCGCCTTGTCCGTAATGCATCGTCATGTTGAGACCCCAGAGCTCGGCGTCCGATCGGGCTCTGACTGACACGAGTCGCTCCAGAGTGCGCGCAGGGACATACGAGTTTGGTCTGTGGGTAAAGGCCTGTTCAACCTTCTGGCTCATGGTCATTCTGTGTAGTGTCAGTTCGAGCTTTTCGCCGTAGCAGGGAGCAATTTACACAGCTGCGCCCATCAGGCCCGAGGCGCATCCATAGAGAATGATGGAGCTTAGCGTGGGCGGAGCCCTAGAGTGGCCCGGGGTGCCTCGATGCGACGACATTGCGATTTCCGTTGGTTTGTTTAAGCAAAGAGAAACAATGTCGCAGTTGAAAGTTAACAGTTGGAATTCTTGGAGAAAAGACAAAGACTCTTTGCGACATAGTGACGTCGTCGATCCCGCGGGTGGGACCGGAGGCTTGGCGCTGAAGCTAGCGCATCCCCGGGTTCGATCACATCACTCCACCTCAATGGGCTCAAACCCAGCCTCTTCCAAATCGAATGTCACCGGAATGATCGAGGGCGGAGGCAGGCGCGGTGAAGGCCAGAAGAGCGCGCTCCTCATAGCATCCGACGACTGCAGGAGGGAGAGCATGCGACGCGGCGACGTCCCAGTGCTCGCTCGCCCCTTTTCTGCAGCCTTCATCTTGATCTTGTCCCAGCCATCCCCAACAGGTTTGGGGGAGAAAAAGTCGGCGCCCTGGTTCACCGAAAGGGCGGCCCAGTGCGGGTCGAACTCGCCCCGTCGGCCCTGACCCCCCTGGAGAGCGCGGGTAATCTCCACGTAGGCCTTCAAGCCTTCTATCAAAAAGCGCAGCATGTTCCAGGCAACGTCGGCTACGCGATGACACTGACGCATGTCATCAAGATTGTCGATCCCGCGTTGCACTCGTCCCAGCGTCGTGGCCAGATCATCCGGTGCCCCATTGGCCCACACTCCTGCCTTTGCTCGGCCGCTGCCCAGGGATACCGACCCTTCAGGGCTGAGTGACAGTCCACCAACAGCCAAGTACAGGCGCGAAGACATGAGGACCAGATACGGCATGAATGACGGGGTGCGCCGAAGCGAGTACAGCTCGGCGTAGGAGCGTATGTGGCCGTGAATAGCGTCGGCAGCTTGCACGCATATTTTCCGTGGTAGGAGCGTTGAGTTGGTGATGCGAAGCTCAATGAAGGGACGAAACGTGAGAATTATGGAATAGTGGTAGTACACACTGGACCGTGTCAGCAATTTTCTCCAAGGCACATGTTTCAGGGTAAGGTACCATCCCATCTAAATAAAGAGGGATGACAAACTGCATGTAGAGCACTTGCGGCGTGAAAGTACCCCCCAGTCGGAATGGCTCCGGGAGACTGTTGTACCAGGACAGGAAGCGTGTGTAGATGCCAATCAAGTCCTGCCTGTTCGGTGTCCTTGCGGGGCAGTGGAGAGTGTACAGAGACTTGTGGACAATTTCGCTGAGCTCACAGAACGAGTTAAAGACTGATGTTATGTGGGAGGGCTGTTCACACGGATGCTGTAGGGTTGAGCCTGGTTGCATGTCAGTATTACAAAGTTACCTAGGTATCTCTGACCTCGAGGGCAGGGGACGGATTCACATACCATCATCTGTATAAGGCATCCATAGCGCATTGTCTACTCCATCTTGTGGGGTAATTTTAGGCGGAAATAAAGGGAACTGAGAAAATTGGGGTAGGGAACCAGCTGTCAGAGACCATGCGCTGGGGAATCGTCAGCCACTGGCTCGGCTCCATGAGCAGCCAAGCTGCGGTCTCATGCCACGGGAAGATGCGTACTGATCCAATGCAAAGGCGCCCCAAAAAGTGGCCAGCTGTACAATGCTCTCGTCGTTCTGTGGGCCACTCGTGTCATGATGTCTGTGCAGACCCATCTCGACACACAGACGAACACTTTGACCGGCGTAGTAGCGGCTCTCTCGGTCCATGCCGCAACTGACTTGGCGAATCGACATGATGCCGGCAGCCTGGATTGTGGTCAGGCTATAGTGGCTCTCCATATTCCAAAACAAGCGCTGGGCTTCGGCGAAGAAGACATCGCCCGTCGTGTGGGGGTCTGAGCCTGTGCGTAGCTCAGGTCGGTCCGAGAAGCGACTGGCAAGGGCGAGGAGGGCGTTGACCAAGAGGGGGGAGCAGAACCTCGGTCGCCCGGCAACGAAGTCCGCCATGAAATGCTCCCTGCTGAGGGAGGCCAGCGTTGGGTACTCCCAGCAAAAGTACAGGTCCAGGAGGTGCTCAACGAGGCGGCTGTCCGATGTCACATCGGTCCACGTGCCAACGCAAGGGTCCATGCCTCGATCCATTGGCTTTGGTATCGTGGAGAAGTCTTTGATGCCGCTGCAGATAGTGCGGCTTGTTCTGGCGGCAGTGTTTTCAATTGGGTTCGTACACTTGTCCGGTACTAGTAAGGTTCTGCTTTGAGGCCTGGTAGCCCTGATCAAAATACTCAAAGTGCCGCCATCTGCGAAGAGACTGCAGGTATACGAGACGATATGTCGATCCGTGAAGGGTTTTCGGTTCAAAGTTCCTACCCATCAAAGCCCCAACTAGCAGACCTTTGCTGCTTGGCGGCGCAGCGACCTATTGTCCGGTGCATGCGTATCGTACCACAACCAAGCTGCGGGTCTGCATTTTCGCGCAATTATGACCTCATACCAAGCACATGCTTTCAGCCAATCCCATCAGCTCCTTCACCGTCTCGGCTCATAGGTGTCTGGGAACGCCAATTCTTCGGCGGCATTTCGCGCTAATGGGGCCAATGATTGTTCTTTTGAGTGATTGGTGCGCGCTACCAGAGCGATTGTCGTGAAGCTTAATGGCGTTGTGAAGCCGAAGAACAAACATCATGTGTCGAGTGAAATCGATCATCAAGGTGCGTGGCGCCGAAATCGCCGAGGACTTGACGGTCGCAGAGTCAATAGAGTCAAAGGAGGTGGTTCAAAGCTACCTCAAACGCACGTCTCAAGGACCATGCAACCCCAGAGAGAAAGTTTTCAGGCTGCAAGGAAACACGGCAACTGCATCCCGACATCCTGTAGTGAGGTCTGCGTCATGCACCCTAAGGTCTTGGAGATTCCCCCTTCGTCTTTGGAACTTTATTCGCACCGTAGGGTCACACAGCTCTCCATCTGATACAGGAGGAAGAAGCCAATAAAAACCAATATTTACTCCGCAAGCGTATTCCCATCAACCCCATGGGCGTACCTACCCTTACCTAGGTGATCTCGCACAAGACGCTCCTACCTACCCAGCAGAGGATGCCCCTTTTCATGACCAACTTTGTCATCCAGAACGTACGGCAGCCTGAGCCGCAATTGACAGATAACAGCGTGACATGGAACGATCCCAGTCGGGTCAATCCATCTCGAATCGGTTCCGTCGACGCAGGACTTTGGGAACATGCAAGTTGTGCACGGAGAAAGGCCGAGATGGAGGAGAAGACCCGTGGTGAGTCGCAAAGGGTGTTGATCAAGGTCACGGTGGCCAGAGGTGTCTTTGACGGAGAAGCATTCCGGGTGGATACATGTACGGAGACAATGATAGCTGGTAGAGGACTGGAAGGATTTTGAATGATGTGCGCTATCTTAGACCGACATACTCGTGCAAGTTGCGGGCGTGAGTGGTGAACATGCCAGCTCGGTGACAAGAAGGGTATAGAAAAGTTCCCTCTTTACTTATGCGTGGGTGGAGAAGGATTTTCCAAAGGTCTAGGGCGTTTCGTCAAAATCCTTCCCCCACACCCCGAACAAGCCTTGAATCCATCCAACGGCTAAGGACTGTGCGCGACGGAACAGGCCAATCAGAAGCTATATCTGCTTTAAACCCCTGAGAAATCTGCCCTGCTACGCCCCAGCTGCCCTGATCCTTAACAAAAGTACCGTACCATCCAAAATCTCAAATTCCCACCCGTCATGCCAAACACAAAGAGACTCTCGTCACTGCTGCTAAACACAAATAGGCCCGGTAGGGTTGAGGAGCAGACGACCTCATGCGCGCCTGTGGGGACCCACCACCAAGGAATAGCATCGGGACCGCTACGTGGGTTCAGGATTTCGCCCGTGGATGGCAGCGGCCCTCATAGCTTTCGCCTCAATATACTTGTCGTTGTTTCCAGATTGTTGAGCCCAATCGTGAGATGTGTGAGACCGGCCAGGAATATGCTCCTGTCTATTCGACTTGGAAATTGCAAGGTGCCCAAGTTTGCTGCTACCGGGGGCGCGTTTGACGGGCGGACCCGGGATCGAGCCCAAATGTTCAGGGCGTAGCTGGCCCCTGGTGTTGAGCCAAGGAAGGGTTGGTGTATCCAGCTTCAGCCGCATGGCTACCTGCCGAATCAAGTAACTCGTACGTACCGAGCCGGCTGAGGATGGAAAAGTGATAGACTCAGCATGGAGTCACTCATCTCGGTTCGAGAGTTGACGATGTTGACAGATACTGGAGAGGTCTGGCAGACGGTATGCCTCGACGTAGTAGTCTGTAGAAGGAATACTTAAGAGGCGTGAAGCCGCGTTCTTCGAGATGTCTTTTGCTCACCATCATCACACTCTCACTCCCATCTTCCAAGGAGGTACACACTCTTTTTCAGCACCCGACACTCACTCATCCGTCATCATGAGACTCT